CGTGTTTGGTTGACGCCCTGGGTCTCATTTGCCTGGCCGACAAGTGGCCTGGAGGTTGCCTGGAGCTCATTTGGATTGAACCCTGGGTCATTGCCTGCCCCAGGCAATGCTTCAACGCCCAGGCGAGCAAAATCGGTTGCCTGGTGCTGCTTTGTTTGCCTGGCATGCAATAAGTACGATGTGATGGTCTTCTACTATTAAATATTTGAAGAATTATCCATTAACGCACTATGCTATTTCAAATATTTCTTAGATGTTACTGTTACTGCTAAAAGGATTTCCTACCGGCGGGATATTAAATTGGTGCAGCTACTGTTCATTGATATCACTGTTTTGTGTGTAGATTATTGTTTTCTATTATTTATTTAAATCCTTTATTTGTCTTCATATATATTATTTAAACAAAAGAAATTAAAGTTTTATTAGACAAGAAAGCACACTTTATATTCACAATAGTTTTTTCCGACCATAACCGTGTATGTTTAAATATGGTATTATACCTTTTATTAGCTTTTAAATATGTACTGTATCTTTTATTAGCCTTTTCAGGCACAATCTCATAACTTGTCTGGCTAGGCAGATTTCATCCATTTTTTAGGTAACTTTCAGGCAACACTTTTATCAGGCAAGCACTCCAGGCTTCCATTCAAACAGGCCCTAATCCGTGCAGGGAGGGAGGCGTGGCCGCGGCAGGCCTTCAGGAGCGGGACTTGGCCGTGCGGGCCCCGGAGCTCATGGTCTGTCGTGTAGGTGCCGGCCGCGGGGCTTCGTCAGCATGGATCTACGCACGGCGCACGAGTGCCAAGCGGGGCTGCCTACCGCTTGCTGCGAGACGCGCGGTGGTCGCCCCAGTGGCGGCTCGGCGCTGGCTGCAAGGCGGCACGGGCTTCAGCGCAGGAGGCCGTCATGGCGCACGGACTCAGCATCGTGAGGGGCCGCCTGCCGCTAGCTGTGGGCGAGGTTGTCCCTCCATCGTTTAGCCTCCGGTGCGGGTCCAGTTGCTGAAGGCGCAGGCAGCGCTCGGGTGTCGTGTGAGGTCGCCGACCGGAAGCTACGATGCGTGCGGGTCGGCAGCGCGTGAGGATGTGTGCGGCCTTGCTGTCCCTGCCTACTGCGTACCCGTACGTGTGGGCCTCGGTGCTGAGGCGCCGCCTATGAGGTCACGCGGGCCACAGCGTGGGAGGCCTCCACGGCGCACGGGCATGGTGCCTTGCGGGGCCGCCAGCCACCTCCGCCGCAAGTCCAGGCACTGTGGCAGTTGTGATGTGGTTGATTGGAAAATGGGCGAAAGCCCTGCCTGGCCTCTGCTCTGGGCAGACGACGGTGTTGCAGCTTGTGTCACTTACCACGTTGGAGGCGTCGTCTAATTCCATTCCGTCGTCCACTTCTCGCCGCCTATGACCCTAATCCAACGATGGTGACGTCTGTGGATGTCATTCCCCTTCTTGAAGACATCGTTGTTGTGCACCTATCAGCTTCACTCTACCCTTTTTTTCCTCTCGCCGGATGTGCCCTTGTTGTTCATGTGTGTGCCTCATGTTCTTCGCAGAGGCCTGTCCTACTAGAGTGCTTGCCTTGTCACCGTCATTTGTCGTTTGGTCTCTGGCGGATGTTTTGCCGTCGTTGACCTTACTCCTCACTCTGGCAGATACTTTGCTACTGAGCGTGTGTAGGCCTCTCACCTTACGGATGCTTTGCCGCCAAGGTTGTTATGATCCTCTTAGGCGGATGCTTGGCCGTCGTTGTTGCTGGCTCACCTTACGGATACTTTGCCGTTGTCGCTGTCTTGGGTCTCCCCTCTCTGGCAGATACTTTGCTGTCAAGAGCGTGTGGGCATCTTACCTTGCGGATGCTTTGCCGCCAAGGTCTCTTGGGCGGATGCTTTGCCGCTGTTAGCGCTAGTTCGTTGACTTCTCTTGGTGGATGCTTTGCCACCATGACCTGGTTCACTCTTTAGGCAGCTTTTTGCGTTGATGTATCTTCTTCTCGCAGGTTATGGCTAGTAGGGTTTTGGGGTTGCGGGTTCTTCCCCTTCTCTGTTCTTTCTCTTTCTTTTGTGTTGGTGTTGTGTTCTTGCTCGGTAATCTCTGGATTACTTGGATTGGTTGTAACCTGTTAAACTCTGCTTCCTCTTAATGAAAAACGTGTCACAAGGACACGATTGAGAAAAAAAAAGAGAACACGTGTGTCGGCACAGCACCTGATGATGATGAAGATGAGAAGGCAAGACACGAACTGGGCTAGTCAAGTGGTGGGCCGGCCTCAACGGAGCCTGCGTGCTCCTAAACCACCACACCCAACTATAATCAAATAACAGACACAAGAAAATAATTTGGGCCTCTTTAGCCCGTTTCCAATCATTTTCATCCTAAACAGCACAAGAAAATTGAAGAATAGCATATGCAGAGGTTCATACGCCACCACACCCAACTATAGCTAGTAGGATTGAACCAAACCGGTAGTCGAACCGCTAAAAGACCGAACTAGAGACTATACCCGATCGGTTCAATGAAAAGATCATCCATATGATTGAACCAGTAAAATGATACAAAATATCCAGGGTTTTTTTATTGAACTGTTATGTTCTGTATGAATCGGAGGGTTGTAATTGGATGTTGATCGATCTCATGCGTCCAGGATGACAAGACAGAGGACGCGGGAGCAAGCCGGTGGCGGTGGCCCACTGGGTCATTGGCGCACAAGTAGTGGGAGGGGAGGGATCGAGTCTGGCGCGTGGGTAGGGCTGGGCACATTTAAACCGGAAGCAAAAAAAATTGAGCCAAAATATTAGTATTTTTGGTTTTCGGTTTCGTCTTCGGTTTTAATATGTGCGATTTTTGGGTATTAGCTTTGGCTTCGGTTCTATGAGGGAATTGAACTGTGGAGCCAAGACACGGATGCTTTCCTCTCCTCGGAATAAAGAAACCATGACTGTCGACCTATACCCTACCTATCATTTTCTCTTGGCCTCTCATTTCCTCCTCAATCCGATCAGTCCTCCTTAGATCTTTGTCGATGGTGGCCTAGATCCTTGGTGGCGGGGTGAAAGCCCTAATTTGATTTTGGATAATTGATTAAACCTATTGGACTAACCCTTTGTCTAAGTGTATAGATGTGTTAGGGTGGTCCAAGTCCAAGTGATGGAGCAAGATGGCACTCATGGTGATGAAGATGGACAAACATGATGAACAAGTGCTCCAACTTGGAAAAGAAGAAAGAGAAAAACAAAATCCTATGAAGATCAAGGCAAAGGTATAAATAGAGATTTTGTTTCGCCAATCAAGACACCATAGAGGGTGTGATTGAGTTTAGGATAGATAGTTGTACTATGAAGAGGGGAAAATCATGGTTAAAACGGTTATCAAGTGCCACTAGGTAAATTCATACATACATATGCATTATGATCTAGTGTGCTAACATTTAACCCTTGAAAATGCCTTTGGAAAATGCTAACACACGTGCATATTTGGAGAGACACTTTGTGGTTAGCACTTGGAAGCAAGGGTTGAAGTTTGGAGATGAAAAGGAGGTGTTTTGGTGCTCTGGACTCAGGGTCTCTGGGGTTTGGACCATGTTGCATGGGTCCGGAACCCAACCCTAGTCAGACACTGTGCCTGCGGGAGCTCCGGACCTGGGTGCGCGAGGGGTCCGGACTAAGCTTCCTCAGTCCGGTTGGGACGGGGCACATAGGTGATGCGGCGCTTGGTGGTGATCTGGACTGGGTCTGGTTGTTGGTCTAGACCAAAGGTGAAGTCCAAAGAATTATGTAGTTGAAACACTTGAAACATGCTCCCAAAACACTTGAAAGCCATTGCAACCATACTCAACATCCAAATGTGACACATGCAACGTATGTTGAAATATATGCAACATCTAGATAAACACTTGCAACATGCGTTCGGAAAACACAGATGAAACATACCTCTGAAACATTTAAAACATTCGAAACATATGCTTGCAACATGTGTAACATCCACCAATCTACTTTTGCAACATCCATATGAAACAAATGCAACATACATCTGAAACGCCTGAAACACTTGAAACATACATATTCAACGTAGGGGAAGGGAAGGCTGGGCCGGTCGATTCCGGCCCAGGGTGGGGGGAGCTTGGTCGCTAGGGTGAGAGAGGGCGCCGCGCCGAAGCCGCCCACTCCCCTGCAACACCGCCGCGCCATCTCCATGGATCTCGCTCATGCTCCATGGATCTCACCGGGGTGGGGGGCCATCAGATCCGCGGGCGTTTTGGGCTCCCGTTGGATGAGGAAGCCGGGGTGGGGGAGGGGCGCCGCCATGATGCGTGAGGACGCCGAGGTGGGGAAGCGCGTCACCGCCGGCTAGGAAGGCACCCATGGCCGCGCGTCAGGGTAGGCGCGAGGCGTTAGCGTGGAAAGGAGGAGGAAGCGAGGGACTCGGTACGAGAGTGAGCGAGTGAGGCGTCCGTCCGTTCCAGACGTCTTAATTAGAGCATTATCGTTAGCTAATTGGCTAATAACTAATTGAAGATTTGCTAAAAAAATTAGCACGCCTATTAGCCCTCTTGTTTGGATGCAAACTAATTTTAAGTCATGTTCGCTTGAACTTATCAGCTCGGCTTATCAGCTATGGTACAATGTTTTTCTCTCACAACAAAACAGCATTAGCCGACTTATCAGCAGCAAAAACCATCATCCGAATAGATATCTTCCATTAGCTAGTAATTAGTCTTTGTATCCAAACAATTGGCGGTTTTATGCCACCACTTCAAACTTGGTTGAGTTGGGCAAGGAAGATTTTACAATTCGCGGTTTTATGCCACCACTTCAATCATTATGATTTGTACTTGTTTCCCAAAAAATATCACGACTATGATTTGTACTGAGTACTTGTTTCCCAAAATATTACGATTACGACTAGCTAGAGTAGTTGGTCTGCGTGGCGTTAGCCGTGGATCTGGTAAGGTAAGCCGTCGTCTTCATCATCTTGGCCGACCTCCTTGTCTTATGGCGTCCTAGGCAGTCACCATCCCTCGGAGCGCAAGCCCTCCAGGACAAGGTCGCTGTCACGGTAGCTCTCCACGTCGCCGTCCCTGACGCGTGCGACAGCCGACGACAGGAAGTCCCTCTTCCACCCCTCCAACGGCGGGAAGCCGCAGTGCTTGGCCCCAAACTCGTCGCAGTAGTCCATGTCGAAGAAGACGGTGTGCGAGAGGCGCCTGGGCACGCCGGTCGCCTCCCTGGCGCGGTGGTACTCCTCCGCGGAGCGCAGCATCTCCTCCTCCGGCGGCAGCGGCCTCCGGCCAGACAGCACCTGCGCCACCCACCTCGCCTGCGCCTCGTAGAACCGCGGCACCAGTACCAGCCTGGGAACGCCCACGAAGGACAGCGACGGCGCCAGCGCCGGCGGGAACGTGTGCTCGAACAGCGGGCCGACGCGGTTGTCGTCGACGGTGAGCAGGCCACCCGTGTCCAGGAACGGGAACCAGAAGTCGTACCCAGTGCAGTAGATGATGGAGTCGGCGACGACACGCGAGCCGTCGGCGAACGTCACCTGCCCATCCTCACACAAGCACTCAATCTGGAGGTGCAGGTGCAGGTTGTGGTGCCTGGCGACAGCCTTGGAGACGGCGGGAGTGAGGCCCTCCATGGACTTGACGCTGACGTGCACCTCCCTCGCCACCCCGGAGAGCTCCTGCGCGATGTCCTTGCCGCTCTCATGGAAGCCCACGATCACCACCACCTCGCCGTCGAAGGAGTCCGGGACCCGGTACGAGTGGGAGTGCAGCTGCCTCCTGCTCCACTTGTCCATGCCTATACTAGAAGCTCCATCAGTTGACCAACAGGGCATGAACACAAGTACACAACTTAATTTCGACAGGGACAAAATTCTTAAATCTATCCATCATCATCAGTGTACGCAATCACTGACGACAACGGCGATAACAACGACGCAATCGATCAGAACCAACCTACCGCTGATGGTTGGGAGCCGTGGCTGGGTGTATTGGCCGACGGCGACGACGACGGCGTCGAACACCTCCTCCGTGGTGACCGCGTCGCCCTCGCAGTCACCATGTCTCGACCACCTCACCGTCCACCGCTTCACGCCGTCGTCAGCGGCGAGCGGCGGCGCCAGGCCGACGTGCAGGACCTTGGTGTTGAGCCTGACGACGTCCATGAGCCCGAATGCATCGCAGAAGTCCCTGATGTACCTGAGAAACTCCGCGTGCCCCGGGTACCGCCGGGCGTCGCCGGTGCCGTCGTTGCTGGGGAAGAAGGGGAAGTCGGAGAAGCACGTCAGCTCCCTCGGGCTGATGAGCCGGACGGAGGCGTACATGCTGCTGTGCGCGCCGGCCGCGCCGAGGGGGTCGCCGCCGTCCGTCCTCGGGTCGTACAGCCACTGCCCGCCGACGCCGCTGCTCTGCTCCATGACCGTCACGTCGTGGCCCTCCCGGAGCAGCTCGCGGGCAGACGCTAGCCCCGAGACGCCGGCGCCGATCATGCACACCTTCTTGGATGACACCATCTCGCCTCGCCGCCGGTGGACCTGCAGACACACTGCCGCCGGTGTCCCCGATGGCGTCTCTGCTCCAACTTTATTTGTAAGGTCGTCAATACTCAATAGGTGTGCTGATGCAGGGATGCTTAACTTCTAAATATGCTCATTTAGATATTTCGTTAACCACTGCCAACATGTAATATGATATTGTCGATACAGGTATATTGTTAAGTATGAACTCGAAGCTCAGAAGATTCTGCGCATCTGCTAACAAAAGCAGGCAGATGACACAGAAAGCCAGGATCACAAAATAAATACGGTTCAACTACAAAGGACGTCCACAATCACTTTAATGATTCAACAAACCATGCCAAATTATGGTACAGGTTAAACACTTGCGTCAACCAAAGCAATGTGAACATTATATCACTTATTACATGCTTATACATTGGACTATTACAACAACAGATATCCGATCAAAAACTTCATTTCCCAAGACTATCATATACAAAAGGCACAATCTTACACAACTATACACTCGTGTACCACAGAGCCCCCAAGAAGAAATGACTTCACTTTGTTTAGGGTCTATTCCAGCAATTAGGTCCAAGTTTGGATTTACCACCACTGCACCAGGCTCACGGTATTGGCAACTCTTATGATTCCTCATTCTTTACTGGAGTCCACTGTGCAGCTTCTTTCTTTCTCCTGATAAGAAATCCAAAGGAAAATCCCAGGAGCAGTGCAAACAATACACTGCCTCCGATTTCCAAGTACAACGGAGAAATTTTCCGCACGGTGCTGTCTCCTGTACCATGTTTGGTACCATCCACCGGCTCAGCAACACTACTGTTACTAGATACCAGGCCAGAAAATATCTCCACCATATCATGGACTTGTCCATCATGGTTCCCCACATAGGTTAATGTTAGTTTCTCCCTTGTTGCTACAAGCCTTGTGTATCCAAACTCACCGCCACGGTACATGGACCTCTCAGGCTGTGGAAAGATGGGGACGTCTGGGTGATCAGGCCTCGGTTGCCATATGGGTTGCCAGTCTTGCCCGCCCATCCCAATCACAAGATGCACAGGAGCACCAGAGTATTGGAAGCTTGATGAAGTGTTGACACATTGGAAGTTCTTCATCGGGCAGAACCTCTCATACCTGTGGACATGTCCCCATAGTGCAAGGGTCACATTGTATGTCACCAGCAGCGGTTCCAAGTGCTGGAGCATCTGCTGTTTCAAGGCTGCGTCCCTGGTTTCATCACTTGAGGTGTACATGGGGCGGTGGCCCTGAAAAACAACAAATGGTGTTCTGCTTCGGTTCACCTTCTCAAGGTCCACTTTCAAGAAGTTGTACTGATCACTGCCCTGAACAAAATTTGTTTCGGTTGACATGTAGACGAAATGCACCACACCTGAATCAAAGGAGTAATAAAGATTCCTGGTGTCTGGGCCACCATTACCAGTAGGCAGGATAGAATTGCCAGGCATTCTGAACTTGACGCTATACGGTATCCCACATTCGCCCCCACCGTCCTTTCCATATGTAGCCCACCATGGTTTCCAAGGTTGTGATGGCCAATCGTACTCATGATTTCCTATACAGACATGGTATGGGGTATTGGCAGCAATAGGCTCAATCTGGCTGAAGAAATGATCCCATACCCAAGAATAACCTCTAGCATAGCTGATGTCCCCAATGTGTGAAATGAAGGCAGGTTTATCCCCAAGGGCTTCAATATCACGGAGGATCCATTTTACAGTGGACAAGCTCTCAGCTTGTGTGCGAATGTAGGTGTTATAAGGCACATAAGTTCCCATGTCACCAAACAGAAACGCGTTGGTCTCATTGGCTTCACTGTCACGTGAAATAAAGCTGTATATCTCACTCCATCCTCCTGTGTCACTACCAACCTGCCAAAATGGTCAAGTTGATTAAATTTAATAGACGAGGAGAATATATATAAAAAGCATGCTCACACGGGAAAAGGACAGTGGTGCTCAACTCCCCACAAAACTGGATCCTAGTTCTAGTATTCAGAACAAAAAAACTAAATTTTAAGGAATTGCGATTTCCAAATAAAAGGCCTGATGTTCAAACTCTTCACTCAAACAGAAGTAGTGCTTAAATGCTTACGGCGCCTTCTAACAATCTAGTAAGTTCTCAGAAACCTACGCTTCAGGGATGAATATACTAACTTCAGTTCTTCAATGGAATGCTCATAGATCATACTTCAAGTGGTAGTGCTACCTACAGCAATACAGTTGGTTGCACTGAATCCTATTTGATATTTTGCAGAACATCAAATCAATGCTGAACACTTCAATATTCAGTAGTGTAGAAAGCTTGAAATATTCATATTCACTACACAACCATCAGTTCCTTAGCATTCAGTGCTAACTACACTTCTTTTATTGAGCACATTGACATTTCTAACCATATTTGCTACTAAGTAATACAAGTACATTCTGAAAGTTTCAAAATCCGTCCAGTCACAATTTACATCAGCAACTGCCAGTAGATACATACAACTCATGTGAAGCAACAACCTAAGAACAAGTTACAAGACAATGGACAAATTGTCAGCAAGTGAGGATATTCCTCTCTTTAATGAACTCCCACTATGCATACTTCCAAGATTGCAGAACTTGAGAATCAAAGCCTTACGGCCACATATGCTGAATACAAAATTCAATCTTTTTTCTGCACCCTCCCAACATATAGCTATAGTACTTCAGATATCTCCACTAGGAACTGTATAACTAATGAATACAAATCTTACTGTGCCTCTAATGCTGAATCAACAAATCTTACTATGCCACTAATTCTGAATCAACACAATTTAATCTTAGGAACACAATGATCCATCCAGCACACTCTAAACCACAAAATTCAACCCTTGTGCGCCTCAGGTAACCCTAACATTTAGGCTAAGCATGTATGGCTTGAGAGGACCTAGTACCTTTTCTTTTCTGGAACAAAATTTGCATAAGTAAAATACTGTTTTTTATATATAAAAGATGGTACAGAGCCAAATTTGCTACCTAAAATCAGAAAATTTGAACCATTCCAAGTTGCAGCAGGGGAGAATTCACAGTACCTTGTAAAAGTACCTCCTTCCGGGCTCCAATCCCTTCATGAGGCCGTCGAAGACGAATCCCGGATCTCTCCAGGCGACGCTGCTGTTCGCCGGCCAATCGCACATGTGCTTCTGTTCGTAGGTGCTCACATCCGTGCCCACCTCCTTCCACTCCTTCTCGTCCTCCTTCTGCAGCCCGTACCTGACGACCCTCTTCCCGCGGTCGCCGCACACGAACAGGACCCGCATCTCGTCGATCCCATCCGCGAACGCGAGGTGCACCTGCTCGGGGCGAGCGGGGTCGCCGACGGAGACCTCGCCGGAGACGGCGACACGGTGCTTGCCGTGGGGGAGCGGGTTCCGGTCGTGGTCGATGTGGTGGTAGGAGTACTCGTTGGCGGGCCAGCGGAAGAGGCGGAACTGGTAGGGCGCGCGGAGCGTCGGGAGGCGCGGGAGGGAGAGCTCCCCGGAGCCGCCGCGCCAGGAGGCGGAGCCGTTGAGGAAGAGGTAGCCGAGGAAGTCGCGGTCGCGGGAGGACGGCGGCGAGTAGATGGCGACGTAGTCGAGGCCGTCCGGGGCCGGAAGGCCGGACCAACGGATCTTGATCTGGTGGCCGGAGAGGGACGCGGTGAGGGTGGTGCCCGCAGCAGCCCCGCCGGCGGCGATGGCCGCGACGGCGAGGAAGAGGAGGAAACGGAGGTGGGGGTTTTCGGGGTACATTTTACTGGGGACGCCGTGGAGCAGCTGCTGGTGACGTGTCCTGAGCAATTTAGGTGAGCACGCAGGGTTACCGACGGTGTGGGACCCACCCGTCAGTTCAACGAATCCGGGTTGGAGTACTAGTGTGGGTCAAACGGAATATTCCTCGCAACTGTGGGAAGAATTTCCTTGGTGAGACTTTCTGAGGGTATAACACCAGGTACTACGGCAAGGGATATGGTACATGACATCCAGACTTGCAACGCACGACACTGCTCGGCGTACACCGCAAGACAGTCAAAAGAACTGATCGGATACTATAGATATTGTAATCTAAATAGAATACTTGTCATGTAACCGACTAGAATACTTTTCTTATAACCCTACTCCTTCAGAGTATATAAGGAGGGACAGAGGTCACCTAGTCAGGGGATCCCCAGATAGATCATCTCATAACACAATCCATCAAAGACACAGTACGTAGGGTATTATGTCAAGCTGACAGCCCAAACTTGCCTAATCGCTGTCTCTTGCATTTGTCTCTTGCGTTCTGTGTCACCATTCGGTTCCCTCATGTGTCACCATTCGGTTCCCTCACGTCCACCGATTCATCTATTACCCATATTTCGTCGACAGTGGCACGCCAACTAAGAGATGTGCATGCTGATTTCATGGTGAATCAGATGGCTTGCCTCAAGATCAACTTTACGTTCTCGGTGAGATCGACCTTCGATTTCGTACGGGGATTTCTTCGTCAACCAACAAGTCGCCGAGACGAGGCGGAGTCCTCAACGTGGTGTAGTGGCGTCCGTGGTTCAATTCCGGGAGCCTGGCTTCACGTCGGATGCAACCTCCCTGACGACGAAAACGTCCGGTTAGCACTACCAAAGCCCTGACCCAACGCGATCGTTCGCGTCCGTCGATCGATGAGGACAGGGGGTTGCGCGTGCAGCAACATATCCAGGCAGATGTTCGGGAGGGCTTCCTTATTTGCTGATCTACGCTTCGGGATGTGACTCCAACCTCAATCGATCTAAACAGGCTAAGTCATGCTTTTGATTCCAATTAAATTTTTTATATAAAATGTATGTTTGAATATCTCTACATCCCTACGTGACTACAATGCAGGAGACGATCAACTGCGCCCTTCACCCTCAGCCTTCGCAGCAACGCCCTAGCACGATTGGAGCAGTTGCCGACGGCGCACGATCGCGACGGATGCACGGGTCGGTGCCGGGGGTGG